GAAATCGTGTCTTTTCCAGCAACATATATGTAACTGGAGGCCATCATATTAAGCAAAACAATTCAGAGAAAGATAAATACTGCATGTTCTCACTTTTAACTGGGAGCTAAGTAATGAGTACACACGGAAACAGTGTGGAGTGATAGACAATGGAGGCTCAGAAGGGTGTGAGGAGGATGGATGATGGGAGGTTGGTTGGTGGCTACTGTGTTGGTCTAGTGATGGATATACTGAAGGCCCTGACTTCACCATACTGCAATATATCATTGTAGCAAAAGTGAACTTGTACCCCACAGATACATAATAAATAAAAAGTAAATGGAAAAAATAAAATTTAAAAGAAAAAAGAAAACCAGTACATGCTCAGTAACTAGTATAACTTATAGTGATCATTAAGACAGACGACAGACTATAATCTTTCTCTAATCTTTTCTTTATATCTGATAAAATAGAATTATACTTTCCTTTGCATATTAGTCTGCATTATTGAAAAATATAATTGTTCAATAAATTTTTAGGGTAAATTCAAGTGTCAAATAAAGGAATCTCTAAATTTTTCTGCAATAGCTAGGATTTCTTAACTAAAATTATTAAGTTTCAATTTACTTAAAGTCTTATTTATCAATCTTAAAATTATGTATTTGGCTCGGTGCCAGCCACATACACCCAAGATGGTGGGTTCAAATCCAGCCCCGGCCCACCAAACAACAATAACGGCTGCAACCAAAAAATAGCCAGGTGTTGTGGTGGGCGCCTGTGGTCCCAGCTACTTGGGAGGCTGAGGCAGGAGGCTCACTTGAGCCCAGGAGTTGGAGGTTGCTGTGAGCTGTGATGCTACGGCACTCTACCCAGGGTGACAGCTTGAGGCTCCTGTCTCAAAAAAAAAAAAAATTATGTATTCGATTTAGTTACTCTTTTGTCTTCTGACAAAATTAATTTGACAAAATCAATTGCCTTTGTCTTTAAAACAAGTCTCCTTTCACTTCTTCACTGTGAAGCTTAAAATGAGACTGTTCTTTCAATATTTATGTACTTTTACATTAATTTTTGTGTAGACTCAAGAAAAGAGGCAACTGCCACAATTAAAAGATTGTTAGACATAATATTAGAAAACAGCCATTTAACCCTCTGAGCCTTAGCTTTCTCATTCATAAAAATGGATGGATAGGGTGGTGCCTGTGGCTCAAAGGAGTAGGGCACCGGCCACATATGCCAGAGGTGGCAGGTTCAAACCCAGCCCTGGCCAAAAACTGCAAAAACAAAAAACAAAAAAAGGGAAGGATAGTGTTTATATCACACTGTACATTAAATGATCAGAAAAATTTTTGTTTTTATAGAGGCAGAGTTTCGCTTTATCACCCTCAGTAGAGTGCTGTGGCATCACAGCTCACAGCAGCCTTCAACTCCTGGGCTTAGACAATTGTCTTGACTCAGCCTCCTGAGTAGCTGGAACTACAGGTGCCCGCCACAATGCCCAGCTATTTTTTGTTGCAGTTTGGCGGGGGCCAGGTTTGAACCCGCCACCCTTGGCATATGGGGCCGGCACTCTCCCTACTGAGCCATGATTGGTACCGCCCAATCATGAAAACTTTCTGAAGAAAATTTTAGGAATTATGTTAGTGATAACATTTCTAGCATCCAGTGTTTCTACGCTGGGAACAAAAGGTTTGGGTAGAGAAATGAAAGGGAAATCATTCCATATAAAGGTCATCTGAGTATCATTTTCACACTGCACATGCTATTTTTTCTACTTTCATTTTCCATGTTCTTCCTACCCTCAATAATTAGGCCTATTAGAATCTTTAGATAGGTAGTAAGATTAGCTTAAATTACTTCATCTACATTTCCCACACTCCATTTCCAAAATTTTAATAACTGATCTAATCCACCCTTCTACTACATGGCAGGTAGAGAAATAAAAATAAAACAAGGTAAAAATAATCATTTCTTTCAACTTGAAATTATGAAATTCTTGGCCTATCTACTTCATGTCAGTATTTGCTTGTAAATGACAGGAATTCCTAGTAAGTGTCAGGCTATCATTACATGCGCTTTTGGTTTTTTACAAAAGCACATGGTGAAACATTTTTCAAATTGTATTGAAGAACATAAGATGAAAAACATAAATCTGTTCCATCTTCTCCCCCCTGCCCCCAGTCCATGTCACAGAATCAACCACTTAAAAATGTTTAAGTTTGAGTTCTTCTGGGTATTACCCTGGTAAGTTAAAATCTGTGCTAATACAGTAGCCACAAGCCACATGAGTCTATTGAACACTTGAAATGTGACAAGTATGAATTGAGGTGTGCTGTAATTATAAAATATACCCCAGATTTTCAAAACTCAGCTTCATTTTAAGTAGTACTCAAAATATTAATGATATGTTTTATATTTTATACTATCTTGGCTATATTCAGTTAAATACTAAAATTAATCTCACTTGTTTTTATCTTTTGTTTTTAATTTAATTTTTTTTTAATTGACAATTTTGCATATTTATGGATGCATAGTAATGCTTTGATACACAGATAGTGATCAGGGTAGTTAGCATATCTATCTCAAACATTTGTTATTGTCTTTGTGTTGGGAAAATTTAATATCCTCTTTCTAGCTATTTGAAACTATTTAATATGTTCATTGTTTACTATAGTCGTCCTACAGTGCTGTAGAATACTAGAACTTATTCCTCTGTCTAGCTGTAATTTTGTACCCTATCCCTCCCTTTCCCTTACTGCTTCCCACCCTCTAGTATCTTTTCTTCTCATTTTTACTTCCATGAGATCAACTTTTTATAGCTTCCACATGAGAGTGAGAACATGCAGTGTTTAACTTTCTATTTGAGGTTTATTTAACTTAATGTAAATGTTTTCCATTTCCATCCATGTTGCTACCAATAACAAGATTTCTTTCTTTTTTTTTTTTTTTAACTTTTTAAAGGTGATTGCTTGAATATTTTAAATTATAAATGTGACTTGCATTTGTTACTCACATTGTATTTCTGTTGGGCAGTGCTGCTCTAGTTAATGTGTATATATCTCCCTTAGTTGATGTACCATGTTCTACTTACTAGACATCTGATTCTAATCTGATTCTTATTTCTTTGTAAGGAAGTAGGAAAGATTTGGGAAACTTAGGATTTTCTTATCCTTACCTGAAATTTTACAAGCATACACTGACGTATAGGTAGTTTTTGCTTGTCTTTTTTAGAATAGAATACTTGGAAAGGTCTTTAGTTCTGAGAAAGTTCTTGCTCATATTTTTTGGATTATTTACTCCCTATTTCTGATTCAGAAAAGAATAGCAAACCTCAGACTGCGTCTCTGTTCTCCTATAGTTC